ACCCCAGGAGAACAAGCTATTAAAAAGGGGAGGAGTGTTGGGGATGTTAGATCCCCAAAATTCGCTTGATAATGCCGTATTTTGGTTTTCACGTTTCGCCAGCATGGGCTGATCAGATGACCTTGAGATTTCAATTCTCACCAGCAAAATCCATGGCTGTGATTGGCTGCAGTGTATTTTAGTATGCTATTTTCTTAACTGTCTCAAGGACGTTTCTTTGTTGTATAAATAAACGAGAGATGTATGCTTGATTGTATTGTGATTGTTGGGTGTTTGTAGAATATACTTTCTACGCTTACAATGTCTTTTCACTTCGGCCTCCGATTCAAGGTAGCCTCGCTGGAAGCTGGTAAAAGTCTCGTTCGCGTTTATCGACTAAGGTAAACTCGTGATAGCCTCAAGCATACTAAGTGACGAACTTATCAAATCTGGAAATGCAAACTGCCATCGTGGAGCGGAGGGATAGGCTACGCGATAGCTATCGCCATCGTGCACCTGAGCTTCGTTCGGTTTAGCTCTGTCGAATTCGGGTATACCGTGAACTATCATGGTGGTCTGTTCTTGGGTGTTTGGCGCAGTTCCGGCTGCTGCACGTACCGACCACGGCTTGTCATGCATGATAAGATAAGTGAGTTCGATCTGTCGTCCCTGGTCTTGGGTGAAGGCTGCTTGTGAGTTGGGATGTTGCTCTTTCCCTTCTTCACGTTCAACCGCTGTTTCATGTTGCTGGCAGATACTGGAGGGTCAACAACAAATGGCAGTTTTGTCGGTGTGTTAGGCAGGGTTGTGGTAGCCTTGGTCACTTGTTTTACTGGTTTAGTGCCAGGCGATTTTGGTTTGGTCGTTTAGACTTTGGGGCAGATCTTAGGTGGCCCCTGTGGCTTTGTCGCTGCCTCAGAAACTCTACACCGAGGGTAAATGTACCAGAACCATGGGCAGGGGTGACTCAGCATGAAACCATAGTACTCTTTAGGTACTGTATTGTCGCAGTGACAATGTACTCATGTACTACAGAAGTTGCATTCGAAAGCATGGTCACTGATTTTGACTGTTGATGAACAGGCAAAACAGTCATCCTTATGCTGTTTCCGGGCATTGGACTGTGTCGACCGAGCCTTGGAGCGTCTTTTTCTCCTATTCTTAACTAGCTTACTCGTCCTTTTAGGAATTGGAGTGGTGTCTTGCTTCCTCTGCGGTGTCTGCTTTGAGTGGTCTAAAGTATGGACACTGAGAGGCGTACTATCAACTGACTGTTTCGGTTTTTTAGCAACCCGCTTGCACGATATTGGGATTTTTGATGCACTATCGACCCCGAGGTTTATGCCTCTATAAGTTTTACTGGTTGTTAGAGTGTAAAGTGTTCTAGCGAACTTATTACTTGACATGATGCCAGGGAGATTAGGAGGTGAATACCGAGATAATTAGAATACGAGAGACACAAGAAAGGGATTTAGGAAAGAAGAAATTTAGTAGTATATAATAAAACTATGAGGAATAGAGCCTGAAAGTACTCCACAGTTGCAACTTAACCTTTGACCGTATTAGTAAGTAACTTTGCGTTTATCCAGTAACTTGTCCACAAGTCCTGTGTTTGTGAGTGAGTGGATGTATGTATGCTGCCGAAGCAACTAGAAATAGAGCAGGTGAATGAGGTAGCTAGAACTACAGCGAAGTGGTTCTGACTTGGAATGGTTCCGTATGCCCGAAAATGTTTTCAGATTATCAACCAATCAATGGAGACAACTTTTTATAGCTTCGGAGGTGATAAAGTATCCGGAAAGTGGATTTTTTTTCCCGTAAATGGAAGACACTCAGCGAGGATACGTCAAATTTGAAGCGCGCGGTAGATGATGTTGCCGTCTATTTGGCCATAAGATGCCCTGGTTTGATCTAGAGTGAGTCAAGTACTTTTAATTTCCCGCAACCCTATCATTTCTTCACGTTTATCTCGCAACTTTCAGAGAAGTTTTACTCACTTACTTACTTTCACCTGTTACTCGAATAGAGCATAGGCCGCCCAGTAGCGTTCCTCAACCCACTCTGTCTTCGGCCTTCCTTTCTAGTTACTCCCGGTTATTATTCATTCTTCTCATGAGTTTACAGATCTAATATAAGATAGCATGTGTGTAGCTGAGAACTGAAATTCGGAATCTTGAGATAATGATATTCCTTATTGATTGATAAAACCATGTCCTTATTCATTTTCAACTTGACTTATAACTTATCTTTCCATCCAATATTATCATTAGTATCTTACTCAACCATTCTTTATCACACATAAACTCACAGAAATTATCAAAATTGCATGATATCTGTTAACAAATGGCCAGCTCCTGGTTGAGGATGTTTGCGTCCGCGCACCAGTGAGTAGTGGTGACCATAGCGCAGTCTTGTTTAACATGGTCATAAACGAAACACTCACAAGGGACGATAACGAGCCTTACCTTTGCTACAGTAGGGCAAACGACACACGCATGAGAGAGGTGCTCCTACATGCCCCATGGGCACGGGAGTGGTGAGGGCTGACAGTAGATGATCACTGGCAAGCAGTGAGAGATATCATCCAAAACGCTTTCGTAGACAACGTACCTCAGTCACACCCAAAACGCGAGAACAGAAGAACCTGGATTAGGCGCGGCACTGAACGCTTGCTGCAGGCGAAGAGGAAAGCCTTGCTCAAGTGGAAGGATTCCGATCTCAGTTCTTACTTGGCATTGACAAACAGATGCAATACCAAGGTTCGAAGTGACAATAGACATTTTCAGATGGAGCTAGCCGTCAAAATAGAGGAAAACCCGAAACATCTGTTTAGGTTCATGTCCAAAAGAAAACCTACTAATCATTGGTTGTGTTCTCTAAAAGGACCAAACGGGGAAGACCTTACCAACATAGAGATGGCCAAGATCTTCAACACCAATTTTTACGATCAATTAAACCAGGCGCCTACATGTTGGGAGTACTACTCCAACTTACTGCCACCTGATGGCTTAGGGAACATCCGTATCACTCCTGACCTGGTACTAAGGAAACTAAAATCCTTACGCCTAGGTAAAGCATCAGGTTGTGATAAAATCCTCCAAATGGTCTTGCAACAATGTGCAGAAGTCCTCTGTTGACCGATATGCGACCTGTTCGGGTATTCTCTGGAGTCACACCAATTCCCAGCTGAATGAAAACAAGCTACTCTCCCTCCTTCCATCTTTGCTCAGAAACTACCTTGAGAATAGAAAGTTTCGCACCAAGGTAAACAGAGTACACGCGAGCTGGCGAGTATCCACATCGGGAGTTTCACAGGGAACCATCCTAGGCCCACTACTCTTCTTGATATTTATTTACGACCTGCTAGGCTCAGTAAGCTCACTGGCATTGATCTACGCAGATGATGCGAAGAGGATTCGACTGAGCTTCGAAACGACCTTACATCTATTGAGAAATGGGAAGTGAAAAACGGCTTAAAACTCAACTAACCGAAGTGCCACGTCATGCATTTTCTGCCTCATATGACGCAAACGACCTATACTCTCAATGGAAGTTCTCTCCGTAATGTCTCCTCATAAGGCTATCACGGTTTATCAACCACAGAAGCCTACACTCCAGTCCAAACGATGTAGGGGATGCAGCCAAGGCAAATGCGACTCTTCACTCTATGCAAAGGCAACTTAGTGCTATCACACCGAAATTATTTTTAACCCTATTTAAGACGTACGCGCGCCCACACTTGGAAGTTCACAACGTCATCGCACCCGCTCTGCCTTAAAGAGACATAAATCTCTTGGATCGAGTGCAGAGACCAGCAACGAAATTGATGATAGGGTTGAAAAATAAACCCTACGACGATAGACTCCAGCTCTTGGGATTATTTCCACTGAGCTACAGGAGAATCAGAAGCGATCTGAATATGGCGTACACCATATTAAACACGCCAAACTATCCCAATGTGAGCATTTTATCGATGCATCACCACCACTCCCCTCGAGGCAATCCTCGAAAGATTGCACATCAAAGAGCGAGTACTCAGATTCGTGCACACTGTTTCTCATTGCGAGTCGTCGCAACTAGGAATGCTCTCCCAGTCGAGGTAACCACAGCCCCCTCAGTGGACTGCTTTGAGAAGAGACTTGATAATCACGTACTCACATACGGACTATCATCTCCCTCTTGGACAAGCTGTTCATGATGTATATCTTGAGACCTGCTAGTTGTTACAATTGCCCTCTCCTCAGATCACTCAATTAATCTATCTCGCCTATTATCTCTGTTTCCTCTCCCTTGCTTACACTTCGGTCCTCTCTCACAATCCTCACTACCAATTAACAAACTAAATTCACCTATATATTACTCAGTTCTGAAATTTCATTCGTAATATCATTTTAATTTATCCTTATAACCCTTATTACTCTCCACATTGCAACTAACTGATCTCCGGTTTGGTAATGTGACGGCTGCTAGTATCCAGAAACCTTGCTGGTTTTTAAATTCAGTTTGAGATGCCAAAACTATTAAGGGCTCGACGGTACTGTTGTCTTTACTGGTATGGATGAGTGATCAAATGCCTTCATGTTGTTCGTGTTCAGCAAAATCCTTCGAATCAGGATCAATGTCCAATATCAAGGGGATCGATTATTTTGGAATTTCATAAGCCGCTAGGAATCACGCTATATTGCCGTTAAACATATGTTGAACTTATATCCGCATTCCATATCCTAATCAATAAAATAAAGTAAAGATGTCTCACACACTAGCCTGCCATAGAAATAGTTATAACAAGTAGCTTCATCCTTCTGATAGGAAAGATTTACAGGAACAAGGATAAATAAATCCAGTGAACACATTCCAGGAATAGCTAGATTATCACTGAGAAACAAGCCGGGAAGACGAACAACCGGCTTATTATCTTTATTATAGGAAATCAAAGACTGATTTATTCACAGTCATTGAAGTTTGTTAGTTTTCTGATATCTTGTTCTTCTTTGTAATTGTTACTTGGCTCACGGTCATTGGTGATATGCGGGTTATATGAATGTTGCGAACTAGTTAAGGAGTTGACCTTGGATGTCCATTGTTCTTCAATGTCAAATATATGTCCTCGCTTGATAGACTACTTTGTATTTGTTGGATCACGATTACCTGGGAATTTAAACTCTGTTCAGTCCCCCGAAATTCTTTGTCGATTCCCTCCTACAGATCACAAGGATTTCCCGCTCCCTACAGATGTGTCTTTCTTTTGCCAGCCTGAAGGATGTATTAATACCTCCAGCAACACATTCCCTATAAAATCTTTGAATAATGGCCACAATGGAATAAAATCTGTGACGTTTTTATTTTCATTAACTGATAAAGATTCCAGTAAAACGCGTTATGGTATTTGCATCAACTTCTTTAGACCAGTTAATGCTAATAGATCTAGTAGAAATTCGGACGTATCCGTTTCACATTCCAATGAATCTTATAGATCACTTGAAACTATCCAGGATAACTCCTCATCAATTGTAAAACAGAATAATACGAATAGTACCTATAGCTTAACGTCAATATGTTTAATTACCCATTATGCTTTTGCCACGACATTTGCACAACTGGTACAATATATACATGCAATTCTAAAGAAGCTACACAAGTTATCAAAACCTGGATGTGTGGATAGGTGAGCATTCTTAGTGTTTGCATTTTTGTCATAATATTTTCATTGAATTGCCATGTTAAGTCCATTCTGTTTGTAGTAAAATTCAAGATTTAGATCATACTGATATGTATAAGCTGCAAAAGGGTGCTTTTTGGGTTCATAGCTCAATTCTTGGATACTCTGTCAATAGCATTCAAACTGGTTGTTCACGATATCGCGACTGGGAAGTGACATCCACCACCACATCCCTAACAACTTACGAGACCAACTTGCTCCCAACTAAATCCTTCCTATACCTGTTATCAACCCCACCAAGTTTAACCTTGTTGTTGACTTACTGATTGATTGCTCAAAGTAATGAGTACAAAGTTCACTGTTTTACTGTGAATAGTTTTTTTCGTCAGTTAAGCTGATTTGACTTTTGATTCTACTGCAAGGTCATAACCAAGAGCATCTTATGATAACTTGATGTAGTTGGGGCAACTACTCGTCATATAGGGCTCTAATAAGTTCCGCTTTTTAGGCTGTACCTTTACTAATCCTTTTTATCTATTCATCATTGGATTACATGCACTGTTATGATTAGTATTATGCAAAGATTTTAACGAAGGCAATTATTGTTAATAGTTATCACAAAACTATAGTTCTAATGACTAAGGATTCACTTTTTGACCTAAGAGTTATCGGTTCGATCTTTGGAAGGGGTCTTAGGTGTACGTTAGTTGCAAAGAAATGGTTTGAATGTTAAAGTGCTTAACTCTTAGCCACTAAATTTGATGTTAGAACTGTGTAATAGTTTTGTCTTTGTACTATCATCAACCCTTGTACTCAGAGCATTTTGAAACCATGTGTATAATTTTTTACCTTCTGAAAAGTTTAGATACGTACAAAAAGTAACTAGTAGTGTCCCTCTTTCACTAATTATCTGTTAGTGCCTTGAATCTTTATTTTTTTGATAACTCGCTTTCTGTTTAATAATCGTATGTAAAAACAAACCAAAATTGACTCCTGTTCTCTCTTTCAAGTTCATTCTTACTTATCGTGTTTCACCTCTATCTTTCTAAAGTTTTGTAACTGAATTATACTTCTTGGATAATATATTTGAACCCTAATCTTCTCCATTACCAGTAATACTTCTATGATCTCTACCACTCTGCGATTCAAACTGACAAGTGCGTCTTTGTGCTAATGTGGTGTGGCAACCTGAACTGATGTACTTATGTACGAAGTTCTAAGTTAAAACTGACTGACTGACTGACCGTGTTTCACGAATAATTAGATTTAAAATGTAACTATTTTTCTTGAACTATAAATGGTCATAAGTACGATTAAACATTTCAAATATTCTGCCGTATTTGCAGATATTTTTCAATTACAATGAATAGAGGTATGTATTAAGCAGCTGGTATGAACGTTGATTTGCCAGAAATACTTGTTCAACTGCTTAAGCTTTATCTAACACACTTAATAAAAATCGTTAAATCAATAGATATACAACCTAAATAAAGAAACTTAACTAATCTACATCATAAATTCAAGAGTAAAACATGCAATAATTGATGCTTACTAGTCAACTTACTTACGCTTGTTACCTCCTTATGAACTCTTAATGAGCCGATCTGCATTCTTTAATCTACGCTGTCCTGGACTTCCCTTTCCAGTTCTAACAGTTGCTTTTATTTTTTGATGTCTGTTTCCAATTCTCGACATAACATGTTCTTTGATCTTCCTCTTTTCTTACAGGCTTGAGAATTCCAAGTTAAGACTTGTCTTGCGATGTAGTGGGGGTGCTTTCTTCAGTGTATGGCGCAGGTGTATTCGTCATTTGTGTTCTCAAATCCTAAACTTTTTAATTCTTCATCACTTTATCCCTATCTTTTTTAAATCTGTTTCACTAGGTTCTACTTCTTGAATAATATCTTCTAATCTTAACCTCTCCGACTACTGCTAATACCTTTACTACCTCTACTACTATTAGATTTGAATTGACAATTACATCTGCGTGCTAATGTGGTATGGCAACATGAACTGATGTACGTACGGACGAAGTTCTACGTTGCTATTGATTGGTTGATATTGCTTCCTCAACGTGCGTCTTATCCACTTCTCGCTCTTTTTCCTAATTTCTTCCTCAGTCAGAATTTGGTTTGTTTTCTCCTACAGCAGGTTAGCGCTGATGATGTGGGACCAATGAATCAGTAGTATGTTGCGTAGACAGTTGTGTATAAAAACTTGTATCCACTGAATGATGGCTTTCGTATTTCTTCAACTTCCTTCTCCTTACAATGAAACAACTATATTGACGTTTGTGTTGAAAATTCTGACTTTGATGTTGTTTGGAAGGTGTTTTGAGTTCCAGATGTTCATCATTTATAGAGATATTCCACTTGCTTTTCCATCCCACCTCTCCATATATCTGTATTGGATCTAGCTATGTAAAATTGTTCATATCTCCGAGAGCTTGTCCATCAGATGTGATTTGGTCAGTGCATACTGTATTTTGTGGAAGAATCTTACTTTTTCGTTTTGTGTATTAAGATCTACTGCTACAATGGCCATCTTCTGGTCGAGTTTCGTTCTGTGAGTTGGATTTGCTGGTTGTAGAGCTTTTATTATTCTTCTGCTGAACAATATCATCAGCACAAACTTCAGATCGAAGTGAAGTATTCGAATTTCTCCACATTCGACCCGTAGCTTGTTCTGTTAACTTCTGACGTTTGTGCTGATCATGTTGTTCAGTGGAAGAACAATAAAATGCAACCCAAAAAATGAAACTTCACCGTAATCATCCACCTAAGCTACAAATTTACTTCATTGGCCATCTTCTTCTGCATTTGTTATTGTTTGTGGGCGTATTAATCAGACTATTTAATATCTTGCCGTGTAATAATTCATATTGCAAGTCATAATATTGACATATCAGTGTATGTGAGTGTGTACATTTTTTAATCATTCTAATTGTTGGCGATTTTTTTTATAACAGGATTAAAAACAAACAAAACACTATGTAGGTGTTGATTTTGACGATACCTTAGGGATGTAATTTTAAGTCAGAAAAGTTTCTCACTTAAGCTTAACGAAGATGTTGTTAATAGTTTGTACATCATGAATTTAGCCGTTGGGGTGTGTATTGCAACCACGTATCACTTGTTATAAGTGTTCGCATTAGCCATTGTTATTATTCTCTCTCTTATTATTAATACAACCGAGCTATTCTTAATGCTTAGTATTCTCGGACACCAAATTCACTCGAAATGTTCTCTCGAAATCAGAACATGGTTGAACAGGAAATAGAAATTATATTCCAATAACCAGGTTAGATGGAAGACCGAAGTTACAAAGGAAAAAAAAGATGTTAGTATATTTATTGTTTTCCCACACCCGACCGAAGCTGCTACCTTGACGTGGTGGTAGGGCTTGACTATCGTGATGACCCAACCGAGCTATATTGGCTGGAACTTATGTTCCTGAAGGTTCTACTACCATGCCAGTCAGGTCGATTGGAGAACGATGAGACTACAAGCAGCTACTCAAGGTCTGAGGGCGAAGTCGTACTGCTGACTGACTGCAGAGGGGTGTGATAGCAGTAAGGTGTTTCCATCGGATAACCAGCATCTGCAGCGATGCTGCCTTCTCACAAGGAAGGAAGGGTTAGAAAATCTCGACCCTAAAAATGTCACACTTTACCCTACCTCACGGATTCCCATCTCCTTGGGTAAGGGTGCCCACTAAGGGCCTTTAAGAGCGGAGCGAATCCTCAAAAAGGCCGTATATGACC